AAACAAACCGGTCCAACCAAGCGACGAAAATATATCGACCTCCGACGCCACTACCTTCACCACCACATCAAGCAACGCCACATATCGCTCGAACACGCCCCTTCCGCCAACATGCTCGCTGACCCTTTCACCAAACCACTGAAATCCGCCCCTTTTCAACGACTCATCCACAGCCAACATCATCCCGGGGCCAACGACAAATCCACCGGCCATGACCGCTCCACGACCGGGGGAATGATACGGTACACATCGAACACGTAAGCCTACGTGTAGAGCACTGCCGCCGTGCACCTTATGTGCACATCGACAGGTCTCGCGACTAGCAGTAAACGGACTATCGTCTCTGCGTATCAACCCCGACCACCGATGGCAACCACCGCGACCACCGCGACCACCGACCTATCATCAACACGCGAGCGCAAGAAGCGACGTCAAATGCTCATATCGGAGCATTTTGTGGCCGGTGGGCTAGGACCTGTGGATGGACCTTTATTAGTTCGCGCTGTCAGTAGTGCGTATCTATAGGTGATGGCACGAGGGTGCACTATTGAGGGGTACAGTACAGTACTGACAACTGCAGCATATCCCTACTGCCGGATTTTAGTGATCACTATAGTGATCACAGCTTTTGAAAGGACAGTACTTCGGCGTATGAAATGCTTTCTAAGATCTGAGAAAACAACCGTGTTCCTGACGTTGTGTGTGACCACTCTGCAAAGTTTCACTTGCAAGGCCGCAAAATTGACTCAATGACATTCAGGCAAAGTTGGGTCGTCAGACCCTTTTCCGGGGGCGTGAAAAAGGCCTATCGATCGCTATAGTGATCATTTGGCCTCTTGTTTTTACTCCTACGACACGACTTGTTAAGTTCCCAAACTACCGTGAAGAAGTATTACTCTTTAACTGAAACGACGTCGACGGGTCGGACGCTCATTACTGCTACCTCCCCAATCTGATCTGAGTCTCGTATATCCCTCAGATGGGGTACTTGGCTCTGCAGTCGCTGTTTGGTTCACAGAGTCGCCATTCTCACTCCGTTCATCCACTGCAATGGTTAACTTCGGGGTTTGACGAAGTTTTAACTCCTTTGCAGTGTGCCAGATACTCCAACAACTCTTCCGCAGTCCTGCATACGTCCTGGTACACAAAGGCGCGGCACAAAGATTGCAAGTGTAAGTTGTTCGGTGACCCCTCCACGGTCCCCCATTCTGCCCACACAACGCACAATACAACACTCGAACTTGTTTAGGACTGTGCCCTCGCACAGATAGTCGAAGTGCAGTGCCATCAACACCATTAAAAAACAATAAACGTTTCCTCTTTTGGGCGTGTGCTACTGCAATTAACCGTTTAACTTCATCTGGCGCAACGATCTCTTCAGATCCAGCAATTAGCTCCTCCACTTGAATGTTTGCGGCATGGGAAAGGAGCTCTTGCGAGACTTCAAGCATAAAATCCGCAGTAGCTTGAACCTTGCTGAGCATGTTTCGGTAGCTCTCTAGACTCTGAAAAGCTTGTTCAGATACAAGCAAGTCTTGTCTTTCAAACATACGCCACCCGAAGAACGCGTTTATAGCCAGAGTCTTGATTGTCTGCGAGACAATCTTTTGCTCCCACTCGAAATGGGAGGTTGAACTTCGCAGAATCGCCCTTTGCTGTGTTGCGCCATCAACGCCCGCCTTCGTTTTGGAGTAGAAACTTTGCGAAGCATGCTTGAAAAGCTTCAATGGGACAAAAGCGCCCTTGTCTCTCACATTCCCATCAATTATCTGCCAAAACTTCAGTCTGCTGGATACAGTTTGTCTGTACTCTACATTGACGAACGCCGGTGTCGCAACGTTTGTTTCGTAAGCCCAAGAGACAATGGGACCTGCAGTTGAGACCAACACGGCTTCAGCAACCTGTAGAACAGCAGCAGTAAATCTGATAATAACTGTGTATCGGATTCCAGTCTCGGCGGCGCAAACGTAAATGGCAAATCTCAATCGCAGTACAACAAGTTGGTGCAGTACTTGTGCCATGTGTTCGCGAGGCACGTACTTGCGAAATGTTTCATCACCAACCTCACATCGGACAATATCCGGGGAAGATAATCGCACAGCTTCTCCCAGACTTATAGGTGATACCCTCGTCTTGATTTCCACAGAAGCACACACAACCACCTCACCCGCATCGTTTGTTATCCCTTCCCCATCGCCCTCCCACTCTTCAAAAGACTGCATGTTAATAAGGGCAAGTGCGTCCGGCGAGCAAGCTAGATACCGTGCGTCTTTCAACGCCAACATCCCAACCTCAAACAAGCCCTTCACAAATTGCATCGCCCTCAGTGCACTTAGCACGGCATTCTCATTAGCCGTCCCCCTCATCATAGGCTCAGTCGAAACTTTCGAACTGAACCACCCCTTGTAGAATAGATCGAACCATTGTTGTTCCGTCTTTCCTTCGCCCTCTTGCTCCGATAGCAAACCCAAGCTTGACCGAACTGCTCCACTTGACATCAGAACAATTCCAGCGTTGGTACCAGTAATACGGAATTAACGGAGAACGAACCAGTCGGCGCAGCGCTGTCCAATGGTGAGAACTTGACAATTCTCCCGTATAGTATCCTCAGCAAATGCTTTCAAGGAAAGAGTGGCTTCTTGTTCGTTTTCACTTTTCGCGAACAAAGTGGTTGGCATTGTAGTGCCTGTCTTTGGCACAGCTATCCAGGTATTGAGACTCTGCTGTACACCCGTTGGAACTGTGTACATAAACCGCAACACTTTGGAGAACTTGTCAGTCCCACGTTCCCTCACCGCTACAGCCGTCGTTCTCCTCTGTCCAACGCGTGAACCACTTGAACCGGCAGTCTTGGTAGCGAAGAAGGCCTCCGGTCCTAGGCCAGGGTCGTCATCAATAAAGAACGCCGTCCTCCTGTCGTACCGTACGGACGCACCGCCTCCACCGCCATTAGATGCCTCCCCAAAGTCTTCGTCATCAACAACAACAGCTCCATCAATATCCCCAACAGAAGCTGCCCCGTCGCCGTTTGAAACTCCTCCGCCCCCCTCAGTACCTTGCACCGGGTCTTCAGTAATTTCTTCCTGCAAATCATCCCTGCAAGGGTCCAAGTATGACTTTCCAACAAAGGGGTGAACACGCAGCAAATGGTCAGGCATAACAAAAACAGATCCTATTCCATGCTCCATCATTATCTGAATGAAGGCCTCCTTGCAATACCCTCTATCGGCCGTTACAATGCATCCGGTTAAAGCCTCCTCCCCGCGTCCGTCCATCAAAGTTGTAAACAACTTTCGCACTGAGTCCGTCTGTGCTTCCCCCCGACGCCGAAATCTTATCGCAAGCACAATACGAAATAGGGCGTCAGCAACGGCATCAGCCGAATGGCCCTCTCTGTCCGCTTTCCGTGCACTGAGCATCTTGACTTGATTATCGCTGGCCCTTGTTCCATAAAGGTCATCGTCCAGCGTAGCTAATAAATGAAGAGGGGAGAAGAACACCTTCCTTGTTTCCCTGAACGCAATGGCCTCGAACTCAGACAAATGTCTAGTTTGGTCCCGTTGGGCACTCCATTGTGTTGATCCTTCTGCACCCCTTCCAGTCGCAGAGTAAGCCAAGACATGATCAGTGATAAATCTAATCCGTTCCAGAGACGCCGGCGTACTTCCAGCTTGCCGCAACACAGAGATAGTCTTATCGAAGCTCAGCCCAGTTGTGTGAGACAACAAGAGGACTGCCACATACTTGTATATGTCTGGCAGGGTTACGATATCTGCGTCCAAATTCTTTAGCACGATGAGCTCGTTAAGCCAGCCCATCAGTTGGTTTAGCAGACCGTTCATCAGAAGCACCGTAAATCCCGAACGAGTAGGCGCGATGTTCCGAACACTGCATTCCACACGCATTCTTTCCACGACGCAACTGCACAGCATACGTGCTTTTTGCTGAATGACTGCGTGGGCAAATTCCTTCTCCATCATAACCGTGGTGCAGTTAGTTGCACTTATCACCCATCCTTCACTTGGGTCAACACCTCGATCAAAACGTCTTCCACGGCCCCTCCCTCTGCTCCGACCCCTAGCCCTTGAGGTGCCTCTACCTCTCGACCCTGTTCCACCTCCCGCTCCGACAACTCCACCACTCGTACTAGCCCTTCCTCGCCACCGAGCCCTTCCTCGTGATCCTCTGCCCCTCCTATGACCACTCCTTGTTATACCCCGCCCGCTACCCCTTCCCCTAGTCCCAGAGTCAGTAGGTTGACCATCTGTAGTCGTTATCACGCTAGATTGAACAGTCGGCAAATCTGCTACAGCATGGGTTTCAGTCGGTTGAATCGAACTACGCTCGCGAAGGGGTATGGTAGTAGCTCTAGTCCGCTCGCCAGAAGGGGTTTGGCTGGTGCCTTCAGGAGGGCTTGGAGGGGATGTGACATGATTGTTATCTTCAGGGCTGGTGATTGTAGCCATGGGGGTAGAGGTCTTGGTGGAACTGGCCGTATCTCAGCCCGACCTCAACCGACTTCCAGACTTGAAAATCCGGGTGAATCCAAAAAGGATGCAGTTTAAAGATTGGGAAGACTGACAGTGAGCGGAACACTTTAACAGAAGCCAGAGGGGCACAATTGCAACCCTTTTTGAGGGCCTACTGATCAGTATAGTGATCAGTAGAGCAAATCGGGAGAAAAGCCAAAATTGCCTACTGATCAGTATAGTGATCAGTACCGGCATTAGGGATATAAAACACATCCAACCACATCCGCCCATGCGTCCCCTTTTTTCCACCCATTCCTGATTCGCGCTATTCATGAGTTTGATTCTTACCCATGGCGCTTGCTCTGCTCTCTACGTACAGTACTGATTGTTTCCGTGGCGTCGTCCTCCAGCACTGCCCAGCTTACCAGCAACCTCAACTGACTGAGCACTATCGGGACACTGTTGAGCACCACTCAACATCGTCCATTGCGCTCCTTCACCCGTCCCCTCACCCAGACCGGAGCCCAAATGGCGACCCGCGACTCGTCCCCCTCCCTCTCTGCACCTCTGGACCCCGACAAAGCCTTCATCCAGTCGCACGGCCGTCTGCCGCGCCCGCTGGAGCACGCGGCCTTCGATCCGTTCCGCCGCGCGGTGCTCAAAGTCCCTACGTGGGTGTCGCTGCTGCAGCCGCTCTGCGCCGTCCTCCTCATCCCGCTGCGCCTCCTGGTCGCCGTCGTGGCCACGCTGCTCTCCTACCTCCTGGTCCTCGTCTTCGGCCCGCCGGTCACCGCCCGCTCCGTCGCCACCTTCTCCGCCACGCCGCTGCCCGCCTGGCGCCGCGCCGTCTGCGTCTTCGCCACCAAGCTGCTCGCCCGCGCCCTGCTCCTCGGCCTGGGTTTCTGGACCGTGCGAGGCCGCGATGCCCCCGCCTACGACCACGCCGCCGCCCAGAAGGCCACCATTGTGTCCAACCACTCCAGCCTAGCCGACCCGTGCCTGCTGGCCTACCTCTACGCTCCGGCCTTCGTCGCGAAGCGTAAGGTCTACATGATCCCGGGCATCGGCCGCGTCGGCGCCGCGCAGCACGCCTTTTACATCGACCGCCTCAACGGCTCGGGCCTCAGCGTCACTAGTAAGATGGTCGAGCGCCAGAACCTCGTGCGCGAGTCCCAAGTGCCCGTCCCACCCGTCTGTGTCTTTCCGGAGGGGACCACCACGAATGGTCAACACTTGCTCAAGTTTCGAACGGGCGCCTTCGTGGGGGGAGGGCCGGTCGCCCCGGTGCTTATCAGGTACCGCTATGGATGGTTCTCGCCCACCTACGAGACGGTCAGGACACCGGCTTATTTGTTAGCCATTTTGTCGCAGTTTGCGAATCGCGTCGAGTATTACCGGTTGCCAGTCTATCACCCGAGCGCGGAGGAGAAGGAGGACCCGGCGTTGTATGCGAGGAATGTGCATCAGCTGATGCTGGAGAAGAGTGAGGAGGCGTTTGGCCACGCCTTGGTGCACTCGGAGTCGAATTTTGTTGACAAGATTGAGTATCATTCTCTGGTGTGGGGGAGAAAGCTGAAGCCGGGATTCCGGCTTACGAACGATAGATGACATTTTTTTTACATGATGGCGTCACAGTTGTGTGAGTCATTGCCACACATTTTTTGTGTGAGGCAAGTGCAAATCATTGGCTTTTCATTGCGTCCTCAAGTGCGTCGTAACAACATGGGTACCGAATTCTAATTCCCCTGCCTGGCAACGTCGGCCTGTGAAAGAAAGCATGGGAATGGTGTCATGTCCCCTCTAGTAGTGACCCTCGGCATCCCATGTTTCGACAATATGCACCAAGACAAGTCTTGCGGCCGCATCGTGAAAGCTTATCGCTCTGATTTGCGCGCAAACACCTACTGATATGTATATGTAGTTTGCCAAGGCATGTAGCCATCTCCCAGGCGGAACACTGCCTCAAGATTCTACAATCGAGGGGGCATGAATGGCTCGCCGGTTTTGTCGATTCATGGTAGATTAGAAGGCCATCACCGACTGTGCTCTCTTTCCTACATCTTTTGTTTACACGATTTTTCAAGGTCATTAGGTAAAACACTTGTACATAAGCCGGGTATCCATCCTCGCGCTTTTTCGCATTTGAACGCACATTGCATCTTCAGGTCAATAGCCACTATAATCCTAGTTCTTTCTCTTCTAAGATGGGCAGCATCTTCTCAAGAGAGTATCTGGGGCACTTGCCATGTCTCTAACGCCGAATAACCCGCCAAATAAATGATACACAGCGGTCTCTCCTCGAGTGTAGCAAGTTCCAGGGTGGAAGAACTCTTAACTTTGAAAGGGATAAATCCCTCACTCGCTTTGTAGTCTTCCTAGCGAGTTAACTTTAAACGGGGGGTGTGAGGGGCTGAGTTTGTGCATCAATATCTTGCTTGCACAGGCAGCAAGCCTTATCCAGTCTGAGCCACACGTCCACGCAATCTTGATGAAAGTGATGTTTGCATGGCAGAAATCTGACAGTCTCCCCCTCTTCATACTCACACAGACAAATAACGCAGCTAGCATCCTCGAGGCTGTCATTCCCGGCAAGGTTCGCAAACGTAGCCGGCGAGTACTCGATGGAATTGAGGTTCTGCACTTGTGCTGGGTCAGCAGCGCGCGGGCGGCGACGGTCGCGTTCTGCGTACGGCAGCATGATCCGGTAGACGAGGATGAAGAGCGGGAGGCAGCAAACGATGAGACAAAAGCAAGCCAAAGGGAGGAAGAGAAGGGCGTAGTAGATGATGGTCAAGGCGACAATCAAACGATATAGGTGCGGGGCGGTCGTCGAACACGTGCCGCCGTCGGAGACCCAAAACGAGCCCAGGATGAACCAGACCAGATACCAGGCGTTGACGATGCGGACGTAGCGGTCAAACAACTCTGTGGAATAGCCGGCAGAGCCCGATGAGCCGGAGATGGTAATGGAGATGCGGCTCGACGACGACGCGGCGCTCGCCGACGACGTAGACGCGCCCTGCGACGGGCTCGCGTGCGCGATGCGCGAGGACGGGAAGTCCGATGAGGCGTGGACCGAGGCGTCCGCGGTAGACGCGGACGCAGGGGAATCCCCGGCGGCGCGGGCTCGCGCGGCGTCGGGGGGAGAATGGTCGCCGGGGGCGCCGGAGGCATGGACGACGTCGACTACGACGATGGGCGGGCGGTGGCGGTCGTGCGTGCGGGAGGCGGCGGGCGGAGAGGGGTCCGGCAGCGGATCCGTGGAGGTGAGGAGCGGGGGCATGTTGGAGACGTCCGTGTACATGTCCAGGTCGGACGCGGAGAGGCCGTTGCGATGCTGGCCCAGCGAGTCGCGACCGTACCAGATGTTGAGCAGGTTAAGCAAGACGGTGCCGGTCTGCAACATGATAAGGACGCAGACCCAGAAGCGGAACGGGCGGTCGCAGCGGTCTTCCTTGGACCATACGAGGACGACAACTTCGGCGAAGAGCTCGCATAGGACGAGAAAGACCGAGAGCATGCGGCCGGCTGGCAGCAGGTCGCGCTGCACCTGGTCGGCGACATTGGAGCGCAGACGAGTGCTCTCGTGGTGGAAAAGGCCAGTGCGGGGGGTGCGCGCGGCGAGCGGCATGGCGGGGAGGGGGGGGGGTCAGCGTGCTACGATGCTGCCATGGGGGGGAAGTGTGCGGGTGGAGGGGGAGGGGAGGGAGGGGTTGAGTAAAGTATCTGGTTTCAGTGATGGAGGCGATGGTGCAGAACGGGGTGTACAGCGATGAAAAGTTTTTTTTCAATTGCGGTGTTCTTGATCCGCTGCTGTTGGTGCTGCATGGCAGCATTGCACTGCCAGCTGCCAGCACCTCCACCTCCGCCCCTCCGCCACTCGCAGCCAAACCCAATCTCCCTCCCTCCCGCCGCCTACACCAATCCCCCTCGCGTCATGCCGCTCCCCTCCGCCTTCCCCTCCGCCTTCCTCTCCCCCTTCCTTTCCCCTCCTCTCTCCCGTCCCTCCCGTCCTTCCCATGCTATTCGCGCGTGCCAGCCCTCCGCCCCCTCGCCGCCGCAACCCCCGTGCAATCTCGATGAAACCGTCGCGCTCGCCTCCACTTCGCTTGCCGCGGTCCTCTCTACCGGCGCCAAACGCGCGAAGCTTTCCGCCATTATCCCCGGGCTCAACCCTCTCATCGAGGACACGGTGCCGTACTCTGACTCCACGCTTAACACGCTAGCCTACGGCCTCGCCAAATCCCCCGCCCTGTCCGACGGCCCCGTCGCGCTGCTCTTCAAGTCCGCGGGCACGGCGGCCGCCGCGCGACAGTTCCTCGCGCCCGCCGACGACAAGCTCACGTTCGCCAGCTACTTCCGCCGCGACGCCACCACCGCGCGCGTCTCCAAGCACGTCAACCTCGTCGTCAACCCCACCTCCGCCAGGGGCGACCGTGTCATGGACGATCTCGAAGCCGTGATCGCGGAGGCGCCGCACGCTGTGTGGGTGCTCCTCAACCCGGACTTCGGTATCGACAGGGCCGCCGTCGGCATGCGCGAGATCTCCCGCAGAGACAGTTTTCTAAGCTCCTTCCAAAACGCCTTCTACTTTCGCAATCTGGTACGCCCCTCCCCCGCGCCCCGACCTTCGTTCCGCCTCTTCCCCAGCACGCACTGACACGCACACACACCATCCCCATTCTCACGTCTCCCCCCCGGCGCACGCACGATTGCAGTTCGAGATCCGCCGCCCCCAGTTGATCGCCGTGGAGCGTGGTGCGCTGCTGTACACGCCCGGCGGCATGTGGCGCGTCTTCGCTCTCACGGGCGGAGAGTACATTGTCGCGGAGGAATTTGACGACATGCCGCAGCCGGAGACGATCTCTTCATGCGTCAGGGCCGCCGCCAATGCCAGCATGCAGAAGAACAAGACCAAGACGCCGCAAGCATCTGAGGCAGACGCCCAGTTTTTGAAAGTGCTTGCGCTGTGTGCCGCCGCTTTCGCTGCGGTTTACTATGCGCTGGCCGCCGCGCAGCGGACGTGAGCATGCACGATTGAAGAAGCGAAAAGTCGATTTATTTTAGATATTTGACCTAAATTTAACGGATTTTCCACACTTTTCACTGGCAGTATGATCGAATGCAGATGATCTCTTGCCCGTCTCGTCCCCCCCGCGAGATCTACGATTTCCCTTCCTCCCCTCCGTTACATTTACTTTCTCCCAGCCCGTCGCACCCGTCGCCACATTCATTCCTTCCGCATCCCTCACCATGGCACCTGCAGCCTTCGTCACACCGACTTTCTCAACAGCCTTCACGACGGCACGCCCGCAAAGCACGACCTCATCACGGCCGCTGCGACCGGCAACACGGGCGCCGCCCGCGCGCATCGTGTGCGCGACGCCGACGACGGAGAAGTCCGGCAAGAAGAAGGCGCCGTTGACGTTTGCGACGGACCTGAAGGGGAACTTCGTATGGACGCTGCGCGCGGCGGGGGCGGAAGACGTGGACGACGTGGCGCGCTTGTTCGCGACGACGTACCCGCGCGCGCTGGTCGAGTCGTTCGTGGTGGACTCGGAGTGCTGCACGGTGTGCGAGCCCTCGATCAAGGGGAGAAAGGAGGGCGAGGGGTACAAGTCGAAGATCATGGGCGCCGTGCTGGTGGACGTGGAGACGGAGGTCAAGGACCCCGAGAAGGGCATGGACGGAGGGACGTTGCAAACCGCGTCCGTTATGGGGACGATTGTGGACGATGAGTTGCCTGACTCTGAGGGGGTTAGGAAGAAGCTGCTGTTGGGGGCTATGAAGAAGCTCAAGCTGAAGGGCGTGCCCAGGGTTACGGCGTACATCGAGGCGCCCGAGACGACGACGGTGACGTTTCTCAAGGAGTGCATGTTTAAGCAGACGGGGTCGGACTCGAGCGTGGCGAATATGGTGTGTGACTTGGTGGCGAGCGACCCGGATCCAGAGAAGAAGATGATTTGATTTTGAGTCGACTCGGGCAGCGGAGGCTAGAATCCTTTACCAAAAAGCTATAAACGAAGAGGTGGGGAAATGTGCCCCGGTTGAATAAAAACGCCAACCCCGTGCAGACTCATTCCTTATTCGCGAGTTCCCTGGCGTGCTTGTCGTGGATCGTGCCGATGAGGTCTTCCTCACCCCATGGAAATCTCGGCGACTGCGGCGATATGACGCAGAGATATAACAGAGTAAGACTGTCAGTTTCCAAGTCAAAGCGACTAGAGCGGAGATCCGTGCGATACGCGAGCGGAAAAGCTTACCCTGGTGGCCATCTTGAGGTACGGGTACTCCGGCGGGGCTTCCGTGTGCTCGTGGGTGTTCATCATGTTGATGATGAAGTAGGCGGAGACCGGGAGGGCGAAGACGGCGGAGATGATGCGCCAGCGGTTTGTGTCGGCTGCGTTGCGCGCGGGATACAAACGGGGTGAGTATGCGGGGGAGACGGAAGAGGCGTTCGTTACTACGCGGCGCGGTGCAGCGCGGTCTGTGACGTACCGATGGCGTGCTCGGCGCCATGGCTGGCCGACGGGTCATTGCCCGCCGGCAGCTTCGGGCCCTTAGCGGCCGTCTTGTCAATGGCCTCCGCAGCCGTGTTCATGCGGCGCGACGCGGTGCGGAAGAGCGAGGTGCGGAACGACATGGCGGCGGTGCGGGGTGGGTGGGGCGGAAGGGAGAGGGGACGTGTGACGCGGAGGCGATGTGGGTGGGATGTGGGGTGCGGGTGGGGGGGGGGGGGGGGGTGCATGGGGGGGTGCAGGGGGGTGTGAGGGAGAAACTTTCACAATCATTTCCCTTTTTTCGGAAGGGATGAAACGTGGCCACGTGGTCATATGGAGGTGTAAGCCGCGGAAGAGGGCGATGTACGATACAGGAGCCGGGAGACGACCTGAACGAACTCGCCCCCCCGCGAATTGTTTCCGCAACTGAAACGGAGGGCCTCAAAAGCGTCCGCAAGCCATACACGTGTCCACCTGCTTTCGCATCCCTTGCGCATCGTCCAGTTGAAGTAGTACACGTAGCGGTATGATGCTCCTTCCCCGACCCCCCCGCCCCCTTCACTTTCCGTCAAAGCCGTTGTATGCCTCTTGGCATCACCACGCTTTGACACAACCGTCCCGCCGCCGCCCGCGCCATGTCCGTGCCCGCTTCCGTCTCCGCCGCGGCTACGGTGCCCTCAGCGGCCGCGCACCGCTCGCGCGAGACCACAGCGTACGACTTCGCGCGCTACGCCTCCGTCATCGATTGGACCCCCACCTCGCTCCTCATCCGCGGCAAGCCGGTCGCCCTCCTCTCGGCCGAGTTCCACTACTTCCGCGTGCCGGACCGCGTGAGATGGCGCCCCATCCTCCTGGATATCAAGGCCATGGGCTTCAACGCCGTGCGCCTCTATATACACTGGGGCTACCACTCCCCCGCCGAGGGCGTGTACAACTTCCGCGGGAATCGCGACATCGACTTTCTCCTCGCCCTGTGCGCGGAGCTGCAGCTGTTCGTCATAGCCGCCCCCGGCCCGTACATTTGCGCAGAGGTACAGGCTGGTGGCTTTCCCATCTGGCTCATCGCCAAGAGGCACCTCCGCGTCCGCCACATGTCGCTGCCGCCGCTGGGGCTAGTGAAGAAGTGGGACCACGCCTTCCACGCGTACTGCGTGGAGTACATGCGGAAGATACTGTCGTTCCTGGTCAAGTATGAGCTCACGACAAACCCGAACGGCTGCATCATCGCCCTGCAGATTGAGAACGAGCTGCGCCAGCCGCCGGTGCTAGGCGTCGGCGGCCTGGACCAGGAGATCCGCCTGATGTGCGAGGTCGCGCGCCAGGCGGGTTCCACCGTCCCCATCTTCCATAACGACGACAGCCCCATCGGCTCATGGTCCGCCGGTGACGACTACCGCTCCGCGCGGAAGCTCTTCATGAAGACGGGGCGCAAGGCTTACCGCACAGACTTGTACGGCTTCGACTTGTACTTCACCTTCCCGCCGGGCGACCGCTCCGGCGACCTCTCCTCCATCCAGGTCGGCATGCTCGAGCTCTTTGGCGTCTCGGCCTGTCTGAATTGCTGCGGGATCGGGGGGGCTGGCGTGGGGGGGTCGGACACTGCCTGCTTGTCATGCCTGTATGAGAACGGCTCGCGCCGCGCGCCGCCGCCCAGGCTCGCTTGGGCTGCCACTAAGCAAATGGAGAACGCCGTCGACTCCTTGGAGAAGAAGCTCAACGGCTTCAACGGCAGCGCCAGACATGCCCCGGCCTTTGTCGCAGAGACGCAGGTCGGCTGGATTAACCAGTGGGGCCGCTTCCGCACGTACGATGACATCTACAACTTCTTCGGTGACTGGTTTTCCGCCACCCTGCAAAACTCGCTTCTCGCACAGGGCGTCACGTTTGCAAACCATTACATCGCATATGGCGGTACCAACCATGGCACAGTCGGCGATACCGAAGTGTATTCGTCGTACGACTACTCGGCCTTCATTCGCGAGTTTGGAATGCTGAGTAAGCGCGGACGCGTGCTGAGACATGTCATGCTATTTGCACGCAGTTTTGCGGAGAGGGGGCTCTCCGACTCAGTTTTGTCCGAGGCCGGAGGTCGTGGGAGATCCACGACCTTGTCGCGCGTCAAAGCCACCGTGCCCACGGCATTGCTGGCGGTGCGGAGGCCGAATGGGAACGGTACACCTGCCGCTTCGGCCGTGCCGAACTATGCGTTTTTGCGCAATCTCAAGGTAGAAAACTTGAGGTTTAATCTTCTTGTGGATGGCATGGTGTTGCCGTGTCAACTTACCAGGTGCGAGAGTATGGTCGCGCCTTTGTACTATAATCTGGATGGTTCCAACCTCTCAATTTTTGCGTGCACAGTTCCGGTCGTGTGCAGAACGACATTGGATGGAAATGAGATGTGGGTTTTGCGAGTGCGCCCTGGGGAGGTGGGGCACCTTGTTCTTAAAACCGGAGCGGAATCGGGGAGGGGGAGACAGGGTGTTGCTGTGAAATGGGCAAAGCTGTCGTCTCAGGGTCAGGGTTCAGGTGGCGTGTCGAGTGGCGAGGTGTCTGCAACGGATCAAGACCATGGCGCTGCCACATCCCTTTTGTCCGCCGCGCTGGAGGAACTTCCGCTTTCGGGGCAAACCGTTCAAAGAGACGACCAAAATCCGTTCGCAGTGCGTACAAGCACGGAGGATGTTGGTCTCTGCTTTACATTCTCGTTCAACGTAGAGACCTCTTCCGTATTAGCGATTAGAGACCTGAGCGAAGACGGGTCCTCATCCCCCGTATTACGGCTGTTATGTCTGACGGATGAAGATTCGTTGACTTTCACTGCGGACTTGAATGGAAACGACATTTTCAAACCTACTCCCAATGCTCCGGGATTTGCGGCAGCATGGGGTGTAAGCAGGATCGCTTTTGAGCCGTCGGGTGTGATGGACGTCGGTTTTCGAGCAACAGATCAAGGAAAGACCTTGTTCTTGCTTCGAGAAGATGGCGTCGGAATGACACCTGAACAGTTTGATAAGTGCCCATCAGCTGTATCATCACTGCTCCCAGGCTTGGTGGCGCATCGCGTTCCTGAAGATTCCGTTTCAATGACAGTAAGGCAGAGTGTGGACAATGTGAACCCGCTTTCCAAAGATTTCGAAATTGAATTAGGCAGCTGGTCAAAGCGAATTATCGATTGGGAAGATGACGTCGTGTGGAAGAGGATATCTTATGACCAGAGAGATCCACTTGACCATTATATGACCAGTGGCCATATAGCGTATCGAATGCGCTTTCGGTCGTCATCCAAGTCAGGTTCCCTCACCATAAACGTACGCCATTCCGCTGTGATTTGGTGCAACGGAAAGTCAGTCGGAGGCCAAGTCTGCTTTTCTCATAACACAATCTCTGCCGGAGCAATGCATGCCGTCGATTTGCAACACGCCGGGAAGAAGACACACGATTTGAGTGAGGCCCTGCGTACTGGTCCGGATGCGAATGGCTTCCATAACGTCGTGATTCTGGTCTTGAGTCTGGGCCAAAGCCGTTCGCCGTTTCTACTCAATGACGTGCGGAACAGAAGAGGGTTGCTTTCCGCACGTCTGTCCCGGCGGACGAAGGCTAGAGACATCACATGGGAACTTGCAGGTGTTGATGTCACTCGCTCAGATGATGCCTACGGGATGTCGGGCTTGCCTCTAGAATCAGATGTCAACACCGCCGCATATGACGTTGGGTTTTCAACTTCACCATCGTTAGACGTTACCCGAAATGATGGTCTCGTTTTCTATAGGAACTCCTTCCGGGTGCCACCCAACTCTATTCTCGGAGGTTCCGTCCGGTATCCTCTGCGGATAAGGGTAGTCTCTGGAGCCCATGTCAGAGTCATGATTTGGGTTAACACGCTATTCATGGGGCGGTATGTGGAAGACCTCGGGCCACAATCGGACTTTTACGTTCCGGAAGGCTTAATCAAGGACTACAAGGGAAATTCAATCGTTTTAGGAGTATACGGGCCCGTCGATACCGACTTGTCCGTCAAAATTCTCCCTTGGGTAGTCAACCCGGTATCAGGTAATCTGGATGACACGAACGGAGAAGTTTACGCTCTGAAAGTCTCAAGCTTTCAACTTGATTCGCCAAAAGGAATTTGACTGAAATCTCGAATCCCAACTCGCTTTTCGTTCCATGCTAGCAGTATGATCCCGCGTCTTCTTGCTGTTATCGGGCAACGTCTACTAACATGAGCAAGGAAAAGGTTCATAACTTCCACGCAGAAAGCCGTGCACAACTTTTGTAAAAGGTTTAGAGAGTGAACTAACAGCAAGCAGTGTAGAGTAGAAAAAGATTACCAAGGAAATGTATTGCTTTCTGTGCACAGATGCTGGAAGCAAAATTTCCTAGTGGGGCTCCATCCAAGCTATGTCTGACAGAGAATACTAATTTCGGACTAACCGATGAACTGGGAAGAAGGCAGAGAGGGTGACTGAGAGATCCCGCGCAAATAGAATCGACTACGCACGGTACTGTACTGTATACAGTAGTACAGTACTGTATCATCCGAGGGTCCGACCATCTGGACCTTCGGGGCTAACTTGCTACCCGCCAACCTGTTCCTGTGCCAACTCGGCTGCAACTCTTTCCACCTACCCTCCTTGCCTGCATTCTCATAAGACCGCTTCCCCCGTTACTGCGCTCGCTACCCACGGCTACCTCAAACGACGAACCTCCACTTTCCTGCGCGGGCCGACAATATCCTGTTCATGCCTTGAGGCCCGCACTGTCGATGTAGGCAGACATAACTCAGCAGATCTGCGGGACAACCAACAGGAAGGACAGTCTTTAAGGGATCAGGAAGAAAACGAAAAGCATGTGTTCATGGCGATGAAATTAGTTTAGTATTATTAGTCTACCAGAGCTAAAGTTGTTCAGGTTTCTTTGGAAGGGAAGAGGATAACATAAGCGTAGTAGACTTCTCACATGGGTCGGAGGCATTTGCAGACAAGCCATGGAATGTTCGCTTCGCCGACAACTCTGCTCTAGTCGTCCCTTGCTCTTCGAATCCCTTTTAGTACAAACCACGTAAACCCCGATTCATATTAACATTGCCGTTTTTATTATGAATGGAAAGGTTGATCTTGCTTGGGTCCCGGGGATACTGGTACATGTTCGCTTGCCGTAGTCGCCACCAGAGTGGAAACGTCGAGGTTAGGGTCTGGCAGAAATCTAGACTTTAAAAACGCCATGAAACGTTCTCGATACAAATGCGGCGGTGCGACACTCGCAGAAGATGATGAGCATGATTGCAGGACGCGACATCCATACTCAACTTTTTTCCTCAGCCGGAAGCGCTGCAAAAAGTCGATGATCCCCATACAGACTCGGACACCCGACTTTCGCCCCTCTTTGTCCTTTTGATAACCGACAAAGTATGGGGCGTTCTCTTCGTTCGGCCCATAAACGGCTTTGTAGGACGTGTCCTCACCTGGTAACATGTCTGAAAGACCGAGCAATAAACTGTAGTCCATAACACCATGGGATTCAAGGTATAGCGAGTCCTTTGCGAGCTGATCCATAATGCTGCTGAGGACGTCTGGTTGAAAAAAGACAGGATCCGTGAAATCCTGGTCTTTGAGAGTAACATTCTCACTTTGGAGCTGCTCTTTGGAGGCAAAGCGCTTATACGTGGATCCCTTGAGATCGTACTTTCGGTCGATGAAGACCTGGTCAGTGAAAATAGATGCCATGACAACCATTCGGATGTGGCTGTCGCGACGAGTCTGAACGGAAAAGTGTGCCATATATTTGGTGAGAAGGGTATCCGGGTAAGTTGAGACGTGACGGTAGTAGCTTGGAAGCATGGACACGAGCATTTTCTCCTCGATGTTTTGAATAGTCTTCATAAAATACTTTTCGTCGTCAGTAATGTAGAACAAGGCGCCGCTCTTTCCCGGCGTGGGGAGCTCGCGGACGCGAGATTCAGAGCAAGTGGAGTCGAGAAAGTCATCTTCGGAAACGCCAAAGTTGCGGCGAATGAGGCGATAGACAACGGGGGCGGGGTGTTGCCACTTGGCAAACTTGTTGACGTCAAAGACGGAGCGATGCTCATCAACGGGGTTGAAGTCGAATGCAAGACTTTCAGTATAATCCTTCTGCGTCGGCTCTGCGCCATCCGAATCTTCGAGCAACTCAGAGGTATAGCGCAAGCCAAACTGAATGCTGAGAACAATCTCCCAGTTGCGATGGCCCTTGAAGACGACCTCCCCATCCTTGACCTTCTTGCGGTTGTGCGAACCGGTGGCAATCTTGCCAATTGTCGGAACAACCTTTGTGAATTGCTTTTTCAACCCGTTTCCAGACTTTGCCGTCTCCCTCCGCGGGCTGGTAGAAAGACCGACGACGTTGACGGCATCCTCCCTGCCAATGCTGACAGTTTTGGCAAGCTCGCCGCTGTGCACGCGCTCCAGGGCTGCGACTGCAGCGTGCGGCGCATGAACCGTCTCTATTCTCAAGCCGG